CAAGCGTCCAGAGACCCAAAATGTCCCAAAATATGCTGTGAAATAGCCATACTTGCAACATTCTTCTGTTTATCACAGAATGATGGAATGGTTTGCCTTGGAAGGGACCTTAAAAACCATCTCATTCCATGGGCAGGGACACCTTCCACTAGCCCAGGTTGCTCCAACCTGGCCTTGGACACTTCCAGGGATCCAGGGGCAGCCACAGCTTCTCTGGGCAACCTGGGACAGGACCTCCCCACCCTCCCAGCCAGGAATTCCTTCCCAATATCCCATCTGACCCTGCCTATGGCACTGGGAAGCCATTCCCTGTGTCCTGTCCCTCCATCCCTTATCCCAAGTCCCTCTCCAGCTCTCCTGGTGCTCCTGTAGGTTCTGAAAGCTCTCTCTGGAACCTTCTCTCCTCCGGGCTGAACGCCCCAGCTCTCTCATTAGCAGTTCTTCAGCTAATTTTACATTAGTGCCACAAATATTATGTCTGATATTAGGAATTATTTGAGTTTGGAGAGAGGTTTGTCCCATCCCCCTTGTGGCAAATAATTTGGCTTCTATTTCCCTAAAATCCCAGGAAGTCCTAGCACAAGTAGGAAGATTCATGCTGTGACAAATGATCTGTAAATCTGATTATTGCAGCTAAACAAGAGGTGTTTCTTCAGTTGGTTTCTTGCTGGATTCCAGAAGAAAAGAAATTTCTGCAGAATTTCCCCCTGGGTTGGTGATAGTGATTTTCCTTGGGGAGATGTGAAATTCAAGTTGGTTTTAATGAGTTCAGAGCATTTGTAGATCAAAGAGTGGAGCCTTAAATGACTTTATTGTTGCACTTAAATGCTTCAGGTGAAGTTAGGTCTTAGTAGACTGAGAGGTAACTGGACCCATTTTTGTCCCAAACTGTTCTCTTGAAGTTTAATCTCAATTTTCTTTCCTCTTGAAGCACAACCTGAATGGAAAGCACGTCCTGGTATGGAATCATCCCAGTTTGTTGGTCAGAATTTCTATCAGTCACAGGCTGGAGTTTTTGGGTTTAAAACACCAACTGTCGCTGCAACATCGCTCGGGTTCAAATTACTTTTCCTTTCCTCCAAATATTTTGGGGCCAAGTCATTTGCCATGAACTCCTTTGCAATGTGTGAGCACTGATTTCCAACCCAGGGCAATTCTGGGGATGTTTTTGGCCAGTCAGGGGTGGCCAGATTTGCTTCCTGGCTTCGTATTTTATGTTAATCAAATGATAAAAAAAAAAAAAAAGTAAAGCTCTTAATTATGAATTTTTATCAGTCCACAGAGCTATTCCTGTTCATCTGGAAAAGCAGGTGGATTGTTTTGATCCTTCAAATGGTGAAAAAGCAGGATGGGGGGGCTGTGCTTTCCCAGGTATTTATTCAGATCAGATAAACACGAGCTTTGTAATATTCTTTGGGATTAACATAATTAATTATCTGATTTAACTACTTAAGCGTGCTCTGTTATTTCTAAAAATATAAAATATCCTTGGAAGGTGTGTGTGGCTTGGGAATACTGGCTGGAAAGCTGGAAAAGGAGCTGGAGGGTGCTGGTTGGTGGTGGCTGAATGTGAGCCCAGGTGGAAGTTTAGGTTGGATATTTGGAAAATTCCCTCCTGGAAAGGGTTGTCCAGCCCTGGCACAGCTGCCCAGGGCAGTGGTGGATCCCCATCCCTGGAGGGATTTCAAATCCCTGTGGATGTGGCACTTGGGGACATGAGTCAGTGGTGGCCTTGGCAGTGCTGGGGGATGGTTGGACTGGATGATCTCCGAGGGCTTTTCCAACCCCGGTCATTTTGGGATTCTTTGTCGTGGAAGCGGTGATTTGTCTTGGCAGCTGAGTTGAGGTTCTGCCCCATTCCTGGAGAAGTTTCTCCTCATTCCCAGCAGGAGCCACACGGAGCTTCCCTGCAGTTCCTCTGCCTCATCCTCTGGTACAAAATCAGAGTTTTTTTGAGGGGGGAGAAACGAATCTTTTCCCACCATTGAAACTTAATTAAAAATCCCTCCCTGCTAAGGAATTGCTGCCATGTTTTCCCTGGATCCAGGACCAACAAGAGCCATTTCCAACCCAGCTTTGGCTGTAACTGGATGAATGAAGTCCTGGGAGCACATTCCATGAGGCTCTGAGCAAACAAAGCAGGAACAGTGATGAGCCCAAATTGCCCTGGACACACATTGGGCAGCTCTGATGGCATTTCCAGCCTGGGAGAAGGGAATTGGGGAAATTCCCTTTAATTTTAATCAAAGCTGGGCTTTCATTTTAATCTGTGTGTGAGGCCCAGAGCTCGGCTGGGCTTTGCAGGGGGACAATTCCAACAGGCAGGGAAAACCACCATGGGAAAGCATTTGTGGGACTTGGGGTGAAATAAACCGAATTTTCCTTTTTTTTTTTTTTCCTTTCCTTCCTTTTTCCTTTTCCCCCCTTTTTTTC